CAGACAACCTCTCGTCAATATGCGTTTTTCGCATTGCATTGCTGCAAAAAACGCATAAAAACTTGTGTTTAAAACAAATACTTCGATCGCGCGTCCTCTGGCAGCCAAGATGGCAACATAGGTAGCGTCGCTAGCCGTGTTCTGGATCATTGCAATACTGGATTTTCCGAGGAACTCCCCCGGTAACGCAAGTGCTTTCGTTAACCAGTCCATCATGGACATTTCCAGTTCTGTCATCGATGGAGAGGATTTCTGCAACAGAAGATTTCGACAGGATCTGTTCGTCATATGTAGAAAATTAAAACTCCTCATGCTATGTTTCCTACGATTCGTTCATTCGTTTCGATAGTAAAATGTTACTGGCACATGCTAGGAGTCAAACTTTTTTTCCTCAAACTTTCAAAAGAGGGAACCATCGATCACCTCGTCAGCGAGAGTTTGCTGTTAGCATTTTCTACGATTCGAACTGATTGTGCGTTTTTGCACGCATTCAAATGCAAAAACACATTATTGTGATAACTCATGGTGTGCGTGCGTGTGTCTGTCTGTCTGAGTATTTCAACTAGGTAGCCAAGCAAGCCCCGACGCTGAAACTTTGCCAGCGGATTCCCCAGCCAAACTCCACCCCGGGATCATGATAACAATCTTCAAACACATTTGGGCCCCCGCGTACGGCCACGTAAATTTTTGGCGTGAAAACCCCCTAACCCGCGAACTAGAAAAGCTGAAACTTTGGGGAAATGTTCCTCGTCTGCATAGAACTCAAAGACCTCAAATTCAGCTCCCAGTCATGCGAGGCACTCATCGAGAAAGTTTTTAGCAGGAAAATCGCTACTTGGGAGCCAAAAATATGGAAAGCTGAAATTTTGACAGAATGTTCTCATTCCAAGTACCATTTGATAGCTGTACAATTAACTCCCTGAAATTCGAGGACCAGTGTTTCACAAACTTTATCTATTGTGATTCCAAGCAGTATTACTACAACACGAAATACTGCAAAAACGCATGACCGCATACGCCCGCTTTGCGCGTGTCGCCAATGGTTTGCAAATACCTTTCATACGGATTTAATATGAAGCGGATTTCGACCTTTTGAAATAAGTTAGCACCGAAAATGCATGAAACTTACCCAGCTAAATCCAATGCTGGCAAGTCCATCACTAAGGATATCGCCCATAATAGCCTGGTATGAGCAAGCAGTTGGATAATAGGCGTAGAAATTGGGATGCTGCCAATGTGTGTTACCACTAATGGCCACTTTATCGACATCCTTGAAGATCTCATCCCATGGTTGACCTTCCATCGGAGGATCTTTAGGTATCTTAAAAATTTTTTAATCTGAGTTCTGAAAAGTTCAGCAAACCCTACAACTTTTAAAACAAGCTAAAAAGTGGAATCGGTTGTTTAAATAAAATCAAATTTTACGCTGTTTGTTTCACATTTAGAAGAGAAACAGTGAAAAGGCTTATCTGATGATATGATTTGCTGACAAGATGAAATATCATTTAAAAAGTAGCTATGCCATACTCATTGGTTCGAACAGCATATTTCTGATTTGGCACACTACCGTGCTGTGTACATTGGACAATATTTACAGGCTGTAGAATTTTTTAAATTTCTTATGGCTAATAATTAATGTTGTAGGATCGTTAGCAAAACGAGTAACGCCTCGACAGTTCCGATGAAGTTTTATTATTATTATTATTACTGTTATTATTATTGTTATTATTATTGTTATAATAATAATAATAATAATAATAATAATAATAATAAT